ACCAGTGAGAAAGGAAAAAATGGAGAAAAGGAATGAAACAATAACAGCGGCTTCTGACCTCTCGCTGTGCCCTCGGTGAATATTTCACGACCAGCGCTCGTTTTTTGATGGGTGAATCTGTCAGCGGTGGAGACAGCTTCAGACATTTGAATCTTTAAACAGAGGAAACTGTCTGACTGGGTTGCAACAGACATCAGTAATGGAGCAAAGCGAGCGCAAGCAGGAAGCTAGCAGGAAGCTCCAGAATCAGAGAGGAAGAAGGGAAAGAGATGGCAGGGGCACAGAGCTAATCTGAAGTTCCTGGGGGCACCCAAATCTGAAGGGGCCGAGGACACTGCTGACGCAACTGTGCCTTGAGCCCGGGGGCAACTTCTAAAACAGTTCCACCCCTGTTACTGCGACACAAATCTAACCCGGGAAGGCAGACCAGCAAAAACCACCTGCCACGGGAAAGCACTAGTTTCTACGTGAAACCATTAACATTAACGTGAATTATACCCTTTCTCCATAGGTGTAATTCAGCAGCAGCAGAGTTTTCGTTCTGTGCGAGACAGACAGGTTATTATGTGCTGTCTTATCTTGGGCCCAGTGGAATTAGGTTACTGAACATATGCTACACATTTCCATGGCAACAAGAGTGGGGAAATCTGGAATCATGTCATTTGCAGAGCCAACGGGCGTTTTTGTTTTTTTTCCTCCTCCTTCTTTTCCCCTGCTGCATCACTGCACTGTTTTCCACAGAAAGCCACGCTGTGAGACAACGCTTCCATGCCAAGTCTATTCTGGTTGGGGACTGTCCTGACGCGGCCCTGTCTCCATCAGATGAGGCAACGGCAAGGGAGAGAACAGGCTGAAATAATTCAGACATAAACGCGGCCAGCGACCATGCTTGTTGAGCCCAAGTGGACCTGTTTTAATCCAATTAAAGAGAGCACAGCCAGTGGAACGCGGTCGCAATAAACGCCGTCATCCATCATGCTGGGACAGCAGAGACTGGGAGCAACTCTGCAGAGAGCAGACACCGACCTTAGGGCCCCCGTAATGCGACGTGTAACGTAGGATTCTAGGAGTATGTGGCTGAAATGCAATGAAGCAGTCACATTTGTGACTTCACACTATAAGCACTGTGATAAAACTTAACTGCGCTGCCGTAATTACAATAGCGTCATGACTGAGATTCCAAAGTTGCATAACACTGGCTTCCTTTATAACATTCATCTTATCTGAAGACAAGCAGTCACATTAACAGAGTGTGCATTTCTCTCCTGTATATTTGTGAGTTTGCTGGCTCACTAAATCGCTTTGGAGAATGACCTGAAAAGTAACAACGTAAGAAATTAAAAAATAAATAAATAAACTGAAACACAGGCATGTAAACTTTCACACTTTTGGCGTGAGACACCTTTTCTCAGTCTGTTTCACACTGCCACATGAATCTCTCGCAACAAATAAGAGGAAGTCTCAAAGCTGCCGCTTAAGAAAAAAGAAAAAGATTTTTGGGTAAAGTTCAGCACCACACTTGTACATAAACAGCACAGAGAGCACAAAAGACACAGTTTGTGCCCCATTAAGCTGCCGGAGGCACACACAAAACCCCTCTCCAAAAGTCATTAAACTCTTCTCATATATGTTCAGTTTTTCCTTCATTTACTTTACTCTGAAATCTCAGATCCATTACAGATGTGAAAATACTAGCTTACTTACTCAAGCATTTTTACTGCAGTAACGAGTATGTTATAGACCAGAGTAAAGATGACAATGTCCGGTTTGCCAAAAAATAAGAGGAGCTGGAAAAATGTGTTAATTCCAGCTGTTTACAAAAGCCTATTTTCTTTTTTTCCTTTTTTTTTTTTAATACCTCCAGCATCAGAAAGCCTTAGAATCCTTCCATGTGCGCTTAGAAGGAAGAGAGTTGTACACAGTTACACACTGAACAACAGTCATAACCTCATAGATTGGGATCTAAAGTCACGTACACATATGGTGGATGCTTCAGGCTGTGATGCCTGGGTAAGAATGTGTACACACACATATTTACAACCCAATCGTGTGTCAGTCAATAGTTTCCTTCACTCTCATTGGTAGCTGCTTGATTGATTGATTGGTAATTTATTTCAACATGTGAACAATATACAAGTACATTTAGAAAAGAAAACAAGAGAGAAAAAAAATACTATACAAATTACAATGAGTAGCCTAAAGTTTGAGAAGAGTTTAACTTCTCTTGTCCTCCCGTGTAGACAGCCCTTAAACAGAGTAATTTTGTGTATTTCACGTCAGACAGTTGAGCTTATTCTGCAGAGGTGCATGGATATCAACCTGCATGGAAAGAAGGCTGCGGGTGCTGGCACAGCTAATGTTAGACACACTCAGCAGACTGATCAGTGTACAATTTCATGCACTGGGCTGAACGCCACATTTCACATTCAAGCCGCATTTAAAAACACAATCTGATTATCAAAGAATGTGATTAAGAGACTCTAAATCCAAATGCAGAGACAACACTTAACCACATTGCTAAAAGTATGCTAAAATGTTTCTGTCTTCTGGCTTGTTTTCTTACTTTCATCCAAGTCACTTAGTCTGACATTTTTTTCCTCACATTTAATGATTAGTATATTAGTCCCAAAGACTATCAATAGATCTGTTTCCTATACCCTCTTCAATTATCAAATTAGCTACCAATTTACAGCTGCCATGTTAAGATTCATGTGTACCTAATGCAGTAAGTGTCACTTGACGCGCCATCAGATCTCAAACAGTTTATAACATCATGTGGCTACTGTGGCTAGTTCTGTCACCCTCACTGAATTTGAGCTGTGAGCCACATTAACGTCTGAACGACAGAACGCCACTGCTTTAAAGGATTAATGAAGCCAGCAATGCTATTAAATGTCCCATTTTGGGAGTGTGCACAAGTGCACTTATGTTGCACATCTCTGTGTGATAAGTGGGCTGTTATCATGAGTGAACCTTCACAGCTGAGGTGCTGAATCAAGGCACACAAAAACACTTCCCAAAGTCAATGGGGTTTACTGCTGGACGCAAACAAACTGAAATTACTCAAGGACAAGTCTGTTCATGCAGTCTCCAAGGTAGAGGGGAAAAAAGAAAGAAAAAGGAGGGAAAGAAAATGGTTTATAGGACAATATATTAGAGAATAAAGCGTAAGAGAATTGCTGAAGTTTAGCTGGGCTCATGGTGTACTGTTGTTTCTATATTTCATGCTCTGTCACAGCTCAGCAAAGCTTGCCTAACGTTGTTAGGCTCACACAGTGGTGTGTACATGGACAAAAGAGTGAGTGAACATGAGAGAGAGGGTGAGTGGGGTAGATGAGAGAGCACGTTCAAGTGGTACGGCAATGTCTTTCTAAAACATCTATTGTCTGCGTTTGTGTGTGTGTCCCTCCATGCCTTCCAGCAGTAGACAGAAACGGACTGCATGCACTCGACTGACTGAGAGTGTAGTCTGATTGGTGCTGAAGGCACAGTCTTGTTGCTACAGAGATGCACAAACAAAAGATTCTGCTGAATGAAAAGCAAATAAACTGTATGATGTCAAACTACACTGACAGTACGAGCCAGATTTAAGTTTTAATCATGAATTCAGCAATATTTACGGAGCCATGCTCGAGCCTGGGCATTGAAAAAACACGCCTGGTTCCTTATCTTGGCCTACAACACTCACAAAAGAGAGCCTACATCTCCAGACTTCTGCTTCATGGTTAAATAAAACAAAACAAACAAAAAAAAGGAAACAAAAAAACCCCAAGAGAACCTTGAAACAATAAGACAAGGAAGCCTTGACAGACTTAACTGTTAAACGTGGAGCAACTGCAAGCAAAGCATCGACAGCAGTGGGCAGGAATCAAGAAAGATGAAAGCCCAACTGGAGACTGATGCTGAATAAATAATGACATCCATTGTGGGGAAATGTGATCGGCCTCTCTGAAAATCAATAACTAACAACCAGACCATGATGCCCTGAGTGACTCAGCAACAACTTCAATACACTGCAGACGGTCGATATCAACTGCCTGTTCTTGTTCCGGGAGACATGACCTAAAAAAAATAAATAAATTTAAAAAAAGAGGAAAAAAAAGGCAGGAGGAAAACTGGAAACACTTCTAAATAGGTTTCTGTGAGGGCGGTTGGGAAGATCAGGCTTTGGAAGAAAGTCAGTCAAAACTGCCAGATGTGCGGCACATTCAAAGCTTCTCACAAACTCCTGTGTGCCGCTGTTCTGACAGCGAATCAGAGATTCAGAAGGCACACACCAGAACAATGGATTAATGCAGCCTTTCTTGCAGATGCACTGAGTGAATCTATCTTATTCATACAAAAAGGAATAGCGTTGTCTCTTCCACAAAGGAGTTTGTTCAGCTACACATAAACCTTTCTCAACCCAAAACTCTGAAAAATCTGTGTTTTACTCTGAAAACTCACAGCTATGTTTGACGGGCAAACTGAGGAGCCTCTAAAACACAGAAAGGGTTATTTTGTGGGTCAACAAATAGATATCCATGATCACACTAAATTCATATTTTAATTAATCCTTTGGCAGGGTTTCATTGCATTGGTTTCACTGAGCCCAGGTCATTCCATCTGCCCATTCAAGTCCCCTCTGCCCTGCCTCATTTGCAGCACATACTGTACAGCCGAGCTAGGAGGAGGTGGGATTTTGTTTGACAAATCCGGCTTAGTCAGATTTTGGGTGCATCATAGAAAAACATCAAAATGCAGGCTTTGATTAGATAAGCTTTGATGAGACAGTGGATTTGATCCATAGCTGAGGGGTTAGCGAATCCTCAGTAAGCGTTTCTGTAAGACTATAAAAGAGAGCGCAGCACATTTCTTAAGCCAACAACGCAAATGAGCAGCATCACTCAATCGCAAAAATTAAATACCTCTTTAAGGCTGCCATTAACTGCCCCCGACCTGACCCGAGTGTGGTCAATGTGAGAGAAGTGCTTGATTGGTTAGACAGCACTGCCCCTTACCTGCGCTCTCGATGAGGCAACGGCTGCTGCTGCTGCCGTGTGATGAAGGTGGTACCCCACACGGGGCTGCTGTGGCTGTTCCTGAGCCAGCCCACAGGGGGTGACGAAGGGTAGGAGGTACTTCGAAAGCCATGGTCCGACTCAGTCTCTGCAGTGAGAGACGAGGCTGAACTCCCCATCACCACGGAGATAAGAAGTTAGTTTCTAAATGTTGTTTTTTCTGTTTTGGGGGTTTTCTTTCTTTGTATTTCCCTAAAGCACCAAATATGACAAGGGATCCACTGTTGCACCCAGTTGGGCACACAGGAAGCCTTCAGAAGAACACAAACAACCCTTATCATGTGGTCTTTGCTTCCCATTGGCAATTTTCAGCTACGAATATGAAGAATTTCCTCCTTCAAATAACACCAAGGATCCCTCTGGGAAAGAAAGTATTTATAACAAAAAAAGAAAAGAAAAAAACAGCAACAGGATGGCAAATAGAAAAAAGAAGAAGAAGGGTAATCAAATGAGTTTAACTTGCAGGTGGCCAAGTATCCACAACAGGGTGGAAGTTCTCAATTCAAACAGTAAATTGAGGCAAGAAGCGGCGATTCCAATGGAACAGCTGGTGTCACAGAGGAGAAAATACAATTTTCTCACAGCAAAGCCTTGTAATTCTCCCTTTTGTAGACTTTAAGCTTGTAACACTCTGCACCAAGTCTTCCATAGTGCCACTCATAATTCCTTGCGTGTTCATTCTCACACATCTCCCCAGCCTGTGCAGCAACAGTCTTGTGCTGCTTCCTCTTCCTTTCACACATGCTCGGAAAAATGTCTCCAAAAAAAGGAAAAGGAAAACGTGTGCACGTAAAAGTGTTCACTGTCTTAAAACTTTGCAGCAACAAAACCAGACACCTCCAAAAAGTGTTACGTTTAAGATAAACTCGCAAAAGGACACCAAGATGACACCACTGTCCATGAAGTTAGCTGATAATGTTGCAGATTAGTAGTGGCACAGATGATGTTGTAGAAGGGGCAGGGGGGGGAAAAAAGAGTCACACAAAAGTTATTTGCAAGAAGGAAATCAATGCATCGCATTTCGTGGGAGCAGTGTTGGCAACACTACAAGTATGCAAATAGCCAAGTGTCCCCTTTCAGACATTCAGTCTGACTAACAGCTGCTGTGGAGGTTTACCAGTAAAACAGCCCAGCTGCATTTCTCTCACAGGAGAAAACATAATGTTTGAAAGCGTGAGGAAGGGCCATTTCACACAGATCAATTCGGAAATGTGCAGAATCCCTGCACTTCACGTGAATTAAATCTCAAAGCAACACCGGCCACGGGCGTGTTTACCTCAACAGCTGTCACAGCACGAACATGTTTACAACTCAGTTTCAACTTTTGAGCAATATCCAAGTAAACACCCGAGAGCAATGCTCCGTGTCATGCTGCGGTGCTGTGCCAGCACAAGGACTGGAGATGATCCTAGATTCTTCTGTCTGAGAGACACAGCTTAATTTCTGTCTGATCCCACAGCCTAGGCAGGCCACTTCAGTTCATCATCTTGCGCTCGGATTTATGCGGGGTTGCCAGTTTGTCATAGCAGGTCTATGCATGCGAAGCGACACAGGGAAAGGAGTATCCCCACAGCCACGGCGTCAGGGACAAACTACATTTGCATGGGTGATTTTAGGAGTATCGACAGTTTGTAAACACCCCGGTGCTCCCTGGTCTGCTTGAGCTTTGATAGGCATCAAGTATTAGCTGATCGCTGTGCCCACGGGTCGCTCGCATGGGATCGGATCCGTAGTTTCGCTTTACGGGTTCGGTGAACGTCACACTAAAAACACACGCGTATGTGAGCTTTCAACTAAGTCCTGTTAGCATAACTGCAAAGCGTTACTCATTTGAAAAAGAAAGAAAAAAGGTGATCAGTTTCCACAGCGGTACACAGGGCCATGGAGAGTAATGTGCATGAAGCAGGAAGCGATCCGCAGGCTTTGGGAGAAGCGTGAATACCCGAAGATGTTTCGTTCGTCCAGGCAGGAGAAAGAAGAAGAAGGAGCACTCGGTCGCAAATTTCACCATCTTCCGCCGGTTCCACTCCTGCGTGCGCTCATCTCATATTTCCAGCGTTTGGGATGTTAGTCGCTGAGCCTCGCTGCCTTACATCAGGAGACATCCTCGCCCCGGTCCCGTTATCGCCTTGGATGTGAGCTTGTTCGCAGTGTAAAAGCCGCTCCTCCCCATAATGCTTCTACATCTGGGTCCCGCTACGCGTTCCCAGCCTCCCATGCTCCCGTTATGTATTTTTCCATGTTTTAAGTCTCCCTCACTGATAGCCTGAGCGCAGTGGACGAGGATGCAATCTCCTCCAGCGGATTACTGGAGTGTCGGTAGAGCGCAGGCGCACTGGCCCTGGCGAGCAGAGCAAAGCTGGAAGGCTGCGTTCAAGAGATTTAAATAAACCCCAGTAGAGTCCAAGCTTTAGAGGTCTCGCTCATTATTGTGAATAGGAGCGACGTTAGTAATGAGTGTGTACGGCAGCACAGGGGCAAGATGAGGCATGCCAGCCGTAGGAGAGCACGAGAATAAGAACAATACACACTGTTACAGCTGTCTAGCCTAAATGTTATGTGTTTTTCTGTTGGTTTGCGGAGACAGATTTCTCCTTTGGTCACTTGCAGGCAGAGCACTGAAGGGTTAAAGTAGAAGACAGCGGTGACTGCAACACTCATCACTGCTCAACTGTCCCTGCACATTACTGAGATAAGCCTTCAAACTTCCCCCACTGCTCTCTTCCACTTCATGTAACTTTGCTGCCCTCATTCCTGATCCCTTCCTCTATCTTTGAACTCAGTGTTCACCAGCAAAATACACACATGAAAACACAGGAGTGGCCAGAACATTAACAGGCTCAAACCACACCTTTTTTTTTTTTTTTTGCTTTTTCTCCATTTTCTTCTTTAATAAAGTTAAGTCTACCTGAGCTACAGATCGTGGAGAGACTGACTGCATGGCCAATTATCTGTCTGGACCTCAGCTTTTTGTAACTGCAAGGGTGTAATCTTCATGACTCCTCAGTGGAATATGTAAAGACATAAACTGGTTTGTCTGGAAATGTTCCAATTACAATTCCAGTGAACAAGCAAGCCTACAGTATGTAATGCAGCTGCTGATGTAGACTCAAGTCCAAGCTCGACACCGGAGGGTGTTGCTCAAGACCAACTGCTTCTCGCGGAAAGACGTAAACAGGGAGCTTACTGTATTAGTAATACAATTCCATTTCCAAAAACGAAACGCTGCTTACACAACAACACTGGAGTGGTTTCACTTAAGCTCACTGAGTCACACTGACTGAGACAGGAGAAATCATCATCACTGTAGTACTGTAATAGATAGATGGGTTACTAAAGAGTGCAAAAAAGAGAGGGAGAGGGAGAAAGAGAGAGAGAAGGGGTAAGAGAGGAAGGAGTCAAGGGACTGCAACCCTTTGTTATGGGTGCACCTGTCCAAGCACCACCTGTTCCACTGCAAGTCAGCACCAACAGCTGACACAGTTAGTGCCAGAGAGCGAGAGACAGAGACAGGGGTAAGAGAGATTAGGTTTCATTTCTAATCTCCAGGGACCCACTGGGAAAAAAAGGGGAAAGGAGGTGGGATGTGAGCTGATTTTCACAGTACATTGTAAACTGTCATTTCTACACAACCCAGCGTGTTCGGGCTGACACTATATTTACTCCCACCAGTGAACAAAGCACAGCAGGAATAATTAACCCTTCATGATCATTCCAGGTATAAAAACAAAACACCTTTTATTGACACTCTAACGACAAAACTTCAGACTATTGCCACAGTCCAGGCCTCAAGACACACACACACACATTCGTAATATTGTCCAACCAGCTGGAGTGCCCACGAGCAAGTTAATGTATACCCCAGGCTGCAGTATGCCTGGTTCCTGCCTTATCTCCCTCCCCTAACCCTGCTGCCCCAAGCAGGCAGGGTTAAAGAACAAATGTCAGCGCTGTTATGGGGACTTAATGTCTCTCCTTGTGAGGTGAGGTGAATAAACTCCGACTGTTAAATACACGAGGCTCTCTCACATAATCAATCTATTTGTGTCCAAAGTGTAAGCCTGCCAGCTCTGTCACTAAAGCAGCCAGACGAAAACTCTGAACAATCCCATTGAGACGAGGACACAGCCGCCTGCTGCTACTGCCGGGGGGAACCTTACACACAAAGACACTCTTATTCTCAAATTTGGCCGACATTACCGACCCTCCCTGACATTACCCCACTTGGTGAAGTACTCTCAGGCACCGGTTGTTCTTACCTCGTTTCGGCTGAAGAGGAATTATTCCCGTTTTCAGTCGTCTGTACGTTAACTTTTCACAGCCATGGAAACGGTAAGTTCTCCCCCGGTTTTGTTCTTCACTCGCCGAGCTTCCCGGTCGTTAGTCAGCTCCCAGCTCTCTGCCGTCGACTCATACCTAACATATCTGTGTCAAACACGCGTATGTGCGCTTATTTCCACTCCGTCGTGTATTATCGATACTGATGCGACCGCGTCGGTTTACCTCAAACAGCTCGGAGAGGAAGGAGGGGGGGATTCTAAAGAGCAAACAGCGATCAAGTCGTACGCTAAATACGTACCAAGGGCTGTTATCTAAAGCTAACCGCAAGTAAAATTACGTAAGAAGAAAAGGAGAATGCCAAAATGGAAAACTCCATTTCCCGTGATTAACGCGGGTCTTTCAACAAGGATATCCGGGTACGGTCACCGTCGCCTAATGCAAATATGTAATAAAGATATATTTAATGACTCGCTAAAGCGAGTTTACGCAGAACCTTTAAGATTTCGTGTTTTTCTTTCATTTTTTCTAGCTTATACTGTACAAAGGTCCTTCTTATGATAAATGGTACATTTTAATCTTATTAGTCTCGAAACCAGCTAGCGGCACTATATCGCCATCCAGTGGTCAATGGTATGAACCACATCTGAAATTATTGTTTCGGACCGTCGGTAGAAGCCACCCAGGCCAGGGAGGCTAATATTGCAATGCAAAAGATATGATCTTCAGCTTTACAGGCATAGCATTCTGACCACTGCCAAATGAGTGAGTAACACTGATTATCTCTTCAGTATCTCTTTAGGACTATTAGACCAGAGTTGTCAAACGTATGCGAAATAATTTAATCTCAATTATTAAAGGGACATAAAATGCTACACATATAAAGGCTACTTTACATCACTGAGCCCTGCTCTCAAAAATTGACATACATGTCACACTGTCTGTGAAGCTGGATTTAAGAAATACGTGTTTAAAGTTAACGTTTTAAAAACATGTTTAGCGCCATCTTCTGTCAACAAGGAACGTGGTTGGTTGGTTGTCTAATGTTCGAGTTTGTAAAGCACCAGTGCCTATCAGAGGGGAGAGGGACAATATCTGGTTTAATGGGTTTCCCCTCCAGTTTTGTTATTTAAATATAGACGAGTGGTATCCACAGAAACATCAACGGATCCTCTTGTTCATCCGATGACACCTACACAGACATGTCAGGAGCAGAAAAAGGACCTCTCAAAGATCCTGAAAGGGCAAGGCAAGGCAAGGCAAGGCAAGTTTATTTGTATAGCACAATTCAACAACAAGGTGATTCAAAGTGCTTTACAGAGAAATTAGAAACAAGAACAAATAAAAAGCATGATTTAAAATGGATTAAAACAAGCAAATAAACTAACTAACTAATTAACAAACAAACAAACAAAACAGTATATAAAATCAAAACAGATAAAATCAGAACAGTAGATAAAATCAGTAGTTAAATGTAAGTTTTGAAATTTAAGCTTAAAAGTGTGGATTTGGTGCTTTATTCAAATGCAGCTGAGAACAGGTGAGTCTTCAACCTGGATTTAAATAAACTGAGTGTTTCAGCTGATCTGAGGCTTTCTGGGAGTTTGTTCCAGATATAAGGAGCATAAAAGCTGAATGCAGCTTCTCCATGTCTGGTTCTGACTCTGGGAACTGATAAAAGACCGGATCCAGATGACCTGAGGGATCTGGAAGGTTCATACTGGGTCAGGAGGTCATTGATGTATTTTGGTCCTAAACCAAGGCAGGTTTCATCACACAATTCATTGAATCAACAGCAAAAGAACACCAAAACTACGCTTCACATCTGAAAAAGATTGTAATGAATCTCCTACTCTGTCTTGTTTCCACCACAAAAGAATCGCACGTCCTGCACAGCTCTATTTCTCAGTGTGCTTTGAGACCAGTTTTCCATCAAAAATCTCTATTTTCTGCACTATTCACTTGCATACTACACACCAGTCTAC